CAGCTCAGGAAGGACATGGAGGGGCTGCAGCAGGTCCAGAGAAGGGCAACGAGAGGGCTCAGCCCTTGGAATGGGCTGCCCAGGGAGGGGGTGGAGTCCCCGTCCCTGGAGGGGTTTGAGCAGAGCCTGGATGTGGCATCAGTGCCATGGGCTGGGTGACAAGGTGGGGTTGGGTCACAGGTTGGACTCGATGATCTCAGGGGTCTTTTCCAACCCGGTTGATTCTGTGATTCTGTGATTTAGCAGCTGAGCCTGTCTCTGCCACCAGCCAGTGTGTGCCAAAAATGCAGCTCTGTGTCACCACTTGGCACTGACTGACAGTGCCAGGACATCGTGCTCATCTTCAGGTGGTTTTGGGAGCCCCAAAAACAGCCTCTGCCTCTGTGGTACAGCCTCCAGTCTCTGTTGACATGCTATTTCTGCACGCCACAAACAAACCCCTCCTGTTTGCAAATCAACAATATCAATGCTGGCTATTTTTTACCTTTTAATTAAGGTTTTATTTTGTTATTTGTTTAACAAACACATCAGTGGGTAAAGGAGGCAGGTAATGACTCAGTGTGTAGTGCTCCAGTGCTTAGGTGGATTGATTTTTTAAAAATAAGGCTTTTATAGCACTGACTTGGTCTCTTTAGCAGGACCGTGTGTGCAGTGCCTAAATTATATTCCATACACTGCTTTTTTTAAAGGGATGAAGCTTGCTTTCTAATAATGAAGTTATTTCCACGGGTAGATATTCACATTTATTTTCAATTTGAAGGGGGTGGATGCATTTTCACCACCTTTCAAATACCATCACCCCACTAAGGCAGACTTTCAAATGAATTCAGAGCCAGACTCCTCGGGGATCAGCACAGGGGAAAGTGTTTAAAAGCCTCCAGTGGAACAATTTTCTATTGGAAATGAGATTTTGCCGCAGATAGATTTCCCACGACAATCCCTTGATTTCAACATCGTTTGGGCCAGGGAAACAGACTGCAAACCAACCCTCTGCCAAGGGGAAAACCTTCTTACAGGGCATCACAGAGAAGAAAAGGGAAATATTGGAGTTATTTTCCCTTTGAAGTGACTTGCAGGGGTGTTAAGATGGAAAAGGCTGATGCACTGAGGGCATTCCCTGGGGGAGAGCCCAGCCCAGGGGGCATCCCAACCCCATCCACCCTGGCTCCTGTGGGTGCTGGGACAGATGCAGGTGTGGCACCTGGGTGCCAGTTGATGTTCTCTGGCCTCGTGTGGAGCATTTGCCTTCAGCAGACCTTGGTTTGGTATGGCAGCACCCACATCCCTGCCCCAACAGGAG